GGGAGAAAAGTTAGGGTTCCGGAAAGAGAATAAAGACAAGGAGGTTGGTCAGAAGAAGAATAAAGAGTAGGATAAACTGATGAGGTTTTTAAAGGTGAAATGAAGTAAGAAGTGAGAAAAAGGTGTGCTTATCAGAGAAGCCACAGAACCCTGTGGTGTTTGGTGTGTGATGCTGAGGGAGTCTTGGTGGTGGAGTTTGGTGGTTGTCTTGGTCTTGATATGAGGACTGGGGATCTCTTGGTAGTAGGGGGTGAAAAATTACTCCATTTTGTGTCAGCGTTAAAGAAGGGAGGGGAAAAAGAAGTTACCTGGCTTTCAGTATAAATTTGTACTTTGTAAGAGGATCCACAAAGGAACCTAATTGTTTGCTCCAAAAACTTTTCAAGGCCTGGCTGTGAGGTAAAAATGAAGCTCATAAGAAATTTGGAGCAAGTATTTAATTCTGCTACAAATTCCTGGTGTAGACATGGCTGGTATAAAAACACTGTACTGCATCTCATCACAGTTATAAACCAGAAGATACGTGCTTTTATTTCTTGAATTCAGCAGCAAAACTAACATGAACTTAAACCTATAGCTTTCAGGTATGTGATCTCTGCACACTAAAGCAATGTTCATAACTTGGTCACAACAAAGTGCTTCTGAAAATGTGTTTTCATTGCATTGTGTTGTAGGTGAAATGGATCTAACACATTGGTTTTTATCTGGAAAAAAAAATGTTTAAAAGAGCTATATACCCTGGATATTTGTTACAGACTTGGAATTTAAGCTATGATGATATATTTGGAAATAAAAGCTCATTACGTCTGTTCTCGCCACAGGAGCAGAGACCACATCCTGGTTAAATGTCATATGACTAATTTAATTTTTACAAATGACTATCTAATTGCAATAATTTCTAAATAACTTTTCCATGATCGTGTGCAATGCATTAGCTATTTCTTGGTTAAACTTGTGGGTTGCATACATTGTTTCTTGGTTATGCTTAGGTTAATTCAGTATTAAGGGGTGGGTAAGACCGGAGGGATGCTTATCTGCTGAGTGGAAATAGGTATATACACTTTGATTATTTCCTCTGGTAAAGAAATGGATTCCAAATTTCTATCAAAAATAAGAAGTTTGGGCAACTGCAAAGCAGGGGGTAGTTATTAGCCCGGGAAGTGAGTAAAGTCCGGATTTCCAGTTATGTTCCAATTCTGTTTCTCAAGGTTCACTTTATTCTTGTAGAGATCCTCCCAAACAGTGCAGTTTGTTCAGTGCAACCTGAAAGCAGTTCTTTTCCAGCCGGGCTGGAAGTTTAGCTGTACATCTGCTTTCATCCCTGATGGTCTCTCTTTTATCAAATTCCATTTGCTTTTATAGTCCTGTCCCAGGCCACTGAGCTATAAGTTTAGGAGGGATATATCTTTGATATCTTTGAAATTGATTCTGTTTGTTAATGCATGCTAATGTGGGACCCATGGGCATAGTCAATATATGGGAACTTTGTATATGTTCCCAAATTGTTAGACATGTAAGAGGACTATTGCTGTGCAGTGGTGATGGTGTAGCAGCTAATTTTTCTCTTGAGCTAAGGATGTGACTTCAAGCTTTCCATAGGTGATTTTACTTTTGTGTGTGTGGCAGCTCTAAGTGATTCTCTTGGGTAATAAACCTGTTAATATAATTTGCTTATACATCATATTGTTCTTATAGTATAGAAAGTAAAGAATGTAGTACTGTATCTATTAATACTGAAGTTCAAAGGGATAAAGAAGAAACTAATCATAAATACATTTGTGTTATCAAAACCAGTCAGAATTCTGCCCTCAGAATGGTTGAAATGCAATAAAATCTTGAAAATAATGTTAGATAAGCACTGTCTGGTGGCAGTAGGTATGGCAGAGCAAATGAAATCTCTGTCGTTAATCTGAAGATTAATGTTTAATTTCTTTAAAAATATATTTTTCTCATGAAAGATTTAATCTTAGATTCTGAGCACTGAATAGAAATTCAGATTGCAAAATTTATGTAGCGCTTTTTTTTTTTTTTTGACTGCCAAAATCAGTCTTGAAAGTATACTAATGTTTGATTAAATAAGTTTAGATGACAGAAATCAGTTGATTTTGGTAAGAGTTCAGGGAGGAAATGGTATTTCAGTGTTGGTGCCTAAAGAAGTTGCATTTTCTGGAGGTGAGGGGATGAGTTTTGTTTCTTCTCTTATCAAGAAGAAGAAAGAAATCCACGGAGAGCAGAAATTGTTGTCTAATCATTTGACTAGAGAAGCAAGGATTTACAGAAAGCTTTCTACCCAGTATCACATGATTTGTAGTAATATGCATAGATCTGGTAGCACTTCTTGACCATTAAGATCTGACTTTGTTGTGCAGTACTGAATATGTACCTTTCCACCATTTTATCTTTGAAACTGAATACAGAAAAGTATTACTTGCAAATAATAGTGGCAGACTTAGCTGAATGGGAACCTTCCCCCTAAGCCAACCTAATGGCTCATTACCACTGAAAAAGTGATCCTGCTCCCCTTGCTTCACTGGTGGTGTAACTCTTCCAACTCCTGTAGCATCATCTCTGACTTGCTAACCTCGCTTGCCATCAGCTGCTGATAAAATCTGTGAAGGTGCTAGAGATGCAGACAGTCTCTTTCAGTAGCTGTTGTTCTTTCTGACAGAACTTACCAGTGTCTACATCAATACAGTATGGTTAATAAATCAGAAAATGATATTTCAGACACTGTCATTGTGAAACAGAAGTAATTTTGCATTACAGATGAGTATTAGGTTGCATTGTCTTCCTTATGTAGCATTTTAGTGTCTTTCCCACAGTACTGAAGAATTTTTGTTTCTCATCTTTATCACTGTCTCTAAACACCCTGGGCTTTTTCTTGCATACTGTATAGTGTATGCATGCTTTTTAACATAGCTTTACCCTCTTCCTGCATTGGGAAAGCAAATTCAGGGTGAAGGGAGTTAGTAAGCTGTTGAGCATTCCAAAACCTCTTTGTGAAGTTAATGAGTAGGGATGCAATGGGAATGCAGGGAAGGGCTAGATGGGATCTGCAGGGAAAGGGGAAGAGGCTCGTTGTGTACAGCAGCAGTCAAAATGCTGCTTTGCTGGGTAGTTTCCTAGGGATTTTTTGGCAATTGTTAGCAGGGCTTTTTGGATTTGGTTTTGGTGGTGGTGGTTTTTTTTTCCTTGCTCTCCAGTAGATGCAATGAGATATTTCATTGTTGCAAAAGTACTACAGTTGTTTTTGAGGATTCATTTATAAGAGTTAGGAATGCTCATTTTTACTATTGTTGGGTGTGTTTTGTGTTTGCGCTGGTCTGACAAGTAAAATAAATGTCCATGTGTGTTTACTGATTATTGTAAAATACTTTCTACACAGCAAACTGGAAAAAGGACAGTAAGTTCGTTAGTTTGAGAAGTGCCATAACATCCTCAGCAGTGTGTAGTTCTCCTCTGACTGCAATGTGGGTCATGTGCCCCAAGCACCAGTGAGTGTAGATTTCAGCAAGTGGTGCTTCCCTTTGGGACATCCCCTACAGTTGGCACAGTGAAATAATGGCCAGCCAGGCAGCTGCTGCATTGAAGTACCCTGAGAATTGCAGGTGGCTGTGGAGGAGCTACAGGTAAAGTATGGCAGCTCAGTAGCAGCATCAGTAATACCCTTCACTCCAGGCAGGACTTGGAATTTTACATCCCCACCCAGCAAGTGGTTCATTTTTACTCATCTTGTACATTGTGAATGCTTCACCCCTGGCAGTGTTTAAGGCCAGGTTGGATGGAGTCTTGGGTGACATGGTTTGGTGTGTGGTGTCCCTGCCCATATGAGGGGGGTTGGAACTAGATGATCTTAAGGTCCTTCCAACCCTAACTATTCTATGATTCTGTGATTCTGTGTCTTTGCTAGAATTGTGGACAACCTGCGGTGGCCACTAGCTGAAGGGTGCTGGTGGGATGTGTGGACACTTGTCCATCAATTGTAGAAGATTTCAGTACCCCGTATCTTAGATACTTGCTGGCAGTCAAGGAGGAAATCGGTGCAAGTTTGTTTAGGTGTACATAGTGACTAATGGTGATCTCAGGCAGCCACCTACTACTGGGAGAGGTGAGGCCGGGAGATGCCTTTCCTTTTGGTCGATCCATCTTTTTTCCTCCCCCGTGTTCTTCTTACATAGTAATGAAGTCTTTCAAAGGTCCACATGTGGGATCCACATTCAGGTCTCATAGCTATTACAGATACAGTAAGGACCAGAGTGGTCTCTAACCTAATGATCACTAAGAAAATCTCTGTGAAAGTAAGCTGTGAAAAAGCCAAACTAGGCTTTCCTGTGTCTTCTAGAGCACATGCCAGGGCAGCTAAAGCAGGATCTTGTGTGGTGAGAAAATACTGTTCACCATGGACATCCTCAAAGTGACCAACTTGAGGTCTCCTTATTCCTTCTTGAGATGTTGCATAACTGAAGGCATTGGTTTTACCATATTGGGCAAAGCTGTGGTTTGTTTTGAGCCTCTGAGATGTGGGCTCTGGGTGGACTGGTCACTGTTTTGGCATCCCCAGCAGTGGAATACATGTGTGGACAATCACTCAGAGGAAGAGGAAAATTCACTGACTTCCTTATCCACATTCCAGGGCTTGCCTTTCATCTTCTCATCTGCACTGCTGTGCTGCAAGAAAGAGGATAATTAATGTTCTGCCACTTGTAGGGACAAAGCTGGAGGGGTTCCTGCTGCTTGAATCCCTTGTGAGTGCTGTGAATTCCCCTCAGTTTGGCTATACAGGTATCTGCATAGCCACAGTGAAGCAGATGATACACATAAGAAGCGTTTCAGCAGTTTGGTACTCAGGCAAAGGACCTAGTTTGTTGGTTTTTTTTTCCCTATACAGTATTGAAGAGTATGCATACATGTTACATGTATGCCTTTCTGTGCTAGTGGAATATAAATGACAAAAGACAAACGCATTAGGTTGTTGATGGTGATTGACATCTTAGCAGTAGTACATTGAGTTATATCACCTAAGGAAAGAACCTAAGATTTTTGTTTTTCTGCTTCTTTGGGGAGGGAAAAGAAATGTTTAGTCAAATTTGGAAAATTCCCTTGGATGACAACAATAAATCTAATCAGGTCATAGCGTTCTTGTCAAAGCTGTTAGTTTGGTATCTTACCATTTTATTTGTTTAAAAGAGATTGCTTGACATGTAAGCAGGTGCTTACAGTTACTATTTTATGGTGTGTTCCTTGTTAAATATAGGGGACTCATTGTTCATTTGTTTCTTGAGAGCAGTGGTGCTTTATTGTGTTCATTCTTAAGTGCTATGTTCAGTGTGTCTGGTTCCATTATATCCCAGTTTAAGAACTGTATCTTGATCAAGCTGTCTATCTGTGTATGTGCTATGTAGATAACTGAACTAATTATATAGATAAAATTCTTGAAAGTGGTTATTTTGGTAATTGCAGGTATAAAAAAATGGGTATGTTACAGTTCCTTAGTATTATTTAAAGTTCAAACAGATTATATGGTTTGTTTTTACAAATTGTTTTTCTTTATTAAAAAATATAAATAAGTCATAAATACCATTTCTCAAATATTTAAGAAGTATAAGTTATAAAACAATTTTTCTGGCTTCTGAAAATATTTTTTGTTGAATACATATTTAATAAGTTGATATTCTGAATAGTACCATTAGCAGTGAAATAAAATACAGCCTTTGTTTAAATTATTACTAAGTATTGAAAATATAAATAGAAAACGTTAGAAAGTAATAAATATTTTAAATACAATAAATAGGTTCCTAGAAGGAAATGAGAACATATCTAAATGCAAACTATTGTTACTCTTTCTAGTTCCTAAAACAGAACAACACTGTCATCTGCCACATGACAGATTTATAACAAAGGATTGTGCCTGAATTAAAACATTCAGACACTGAAACTCCTGGTGTTTTTCAAATAGCGAACAGCCCTCACTGTTTTCTCCATAAATGAAGTAAAGTCTCGGAGGATGAGGTGGGTGGTGATTTTCTCTATCCAAGTCTTATCAGACTTCAGCTTTGCCTGGAGGGATTCCTGGGTAGCTGAGTCCGGGATAATAATTTCTTCGGGATTGATCACCTGTGAAAAAGACAATATTGGGGTGTTCTGGTTAAATCATTGTAATTGAACTTGTTGGGGAGCAGCAGTTTAGGTGTGTGACGTTCCCAACCAGCTACAAATCCACCCTTTCTGTAATGTGGACAACAGACTTCTCTGGGACCTACGCTTCCCTACAGCCCCACTTCTGTCTTGGGGTTTGAGGTATGTTGATGCCTGCTATGGTTACTGTGGAACAATCAAGAGTGTCTTGTCTGATCTATACTGTTTGTCCTGGTTTGAATGTGACATCTGCCATTGCAGTCCAACACGCTGCACTGAACAGATCCATACGCTTTTCCTGCTATCGGCCAACCATGTGGTGAGTTGGGAAGATGTGGACTGTGATTTGTCCCAAACTGTTTTGGCTGCTCCATCCTGAGTCATAAGTTAACTGGATGACGTTGGAGTACTCTCCTGTTTTGTAGTAGAGTAACAGTTTCCAAAGATGTCAAACTTGTTTAGCTGCCTAACTTTTACTTTCTAGGCATTTAGGCACGTGGGTGTCTTGATGTCACCAACTTTCACTCCTGTGTAGGATCCTGACTGCAAGATGAGTAAAAGAAGTTATGTAGTTAATGCTGACTGACAGCACTGGGCACCTGGTACCCAGATGTCTTTTAAGAACTTGTCCCATGAACTGAGTAGGTGACTTCTGAAAATGGGAGTTACTCACCCAAATCATGGACCTGGTTTAGATGATTTATGGTCTAGAAGTCTAAAGTATCAGCTTCATCCTGGTTTTAGAATCTCTCCTACCCATTAACAAGTGACAAAAGCATGTGCACCTCCTTCTGGAACATCTTCTTTGTGAAATTCAGTAAGATATTAATTGCTTTCTGTCCAGACTACTTGGAAGTGGTGTATCCAACTACTTGTAGCGTGCTCTGAAAATTTTTTGTATCTGGATATACATTCAGCTAGCATGCAGATAGATCAACCTGAGCACAAATGACAGATTCTGTCCTTGCTCTCCTTGCCTTAAACAGCAGATGGGCTGCTTTTGTAAAGAAAGGATTTCAAACCTGGAGATCAAGATACCTCTTTCTCAAAAACCTACTTTCTCAGAAGTTTTGCTTTTGGTTAGTGTGTATGATTCTGCCTGTTACAGTTGCCTCAATCCTACTAATTTTCCACAGAAAGCTGTTCTCCCCCAGTTATGAAACAAACTTTCTGCAGACTATTACATCAAGTTGGAAGCCAGCAGTCAGTTGCTGTCTTTGTGACAGGACTATTATTCTTAGCTAGCACAGTGGGAAAAAAGCAGTTCAGCTCCCTTTCGCTTAAAGAATGATGGACATAAGTAAATGTTAGGCAAGGTATGGCAAACACACAAAGGGCTTTTCAGGTGCTGAAAAACACCTTGAAGGAAATCATGCCCTGAGATTTCTGCAGATCTTACTCACCTGAATGGTTCTTACTCAGGCAAATAGTTTCCCTGATTACAAAAGGAAATATTCATGTTAAGGGTTATTAATGTGAGTAAGAACTGCAGGAATGAGGTGAATTTTTGGAGCATGAACTTTCCAAGCTCTCCAAAATGATTGTCAGAGATGAATAGCATTTAGTTTACTGAATCGAAAGAGAATTTTTATTAGTGCTAGGTTTACAATCAAAATGTGTGCTTTTCAATAGGCAGCACCTTTTGTTTAGTCAAGTCACTAATATTCTGACTTTAACTGTCTTCCTTCATTTGTAAGCTAGATGGTATATGGAGATACCAGTATCTTGGCTTAAAAGTTTGGTCTGGAGCATATTAAAGATAAATAATATTGCAAAGATGTATTTGCTTCTATTTATGTGGGTTCTTAAAAAAAAAAAAAGGCTTTTTTTTTTTTTTCTACTTCTCAGGGGGTTGCAACATTAGAAAAATTGGAACTGCAGTTCCAATTAGGAACAAGCTCCTTGCGAAATCTCATTTCTGTCAGCCAGGCAGTGTTAGTGTATTCATTCTTGAAACAACTATGCATTTAATTGTTAGTTTGGAAATTAGAAATAGCAATAACAAGTAGGATGAAGAGTTGTTTCCTTAAGAAAAGGAAACCAAACCTTGTGAAACTGGTAAGTTAGTCATAAGGGTGAGTGAGCAGAAGGAACCATCATGTCTATCTGGGGAGAGAAGTGAAAGTGGGAGATGTTGAGCTTCACACAGCATCCTCATTCTCTGACTACACATCAGTGCCAAGCCATAACAATTATTGGAGAGAATATAAAACCAACTCACCATCTGTTTTATGGTATGTGCCAGGTGCTCTGTAGCATAGCACAGTGATTCTATGTTCTGCTTTTCACTAGTAAAAGTTTCTTGTATGAATTGAAGATATGTCTGAAATGTATAAAGCCCACTGGAGATTTTCCTCAGGCATTTATCCTGAAGTGAGAGAAAAGTAAGAAGGTCACTTAACAGCTCAGGAACGCTTTGATAGTGGCATTGTGTGTGCAGCACAGGTAACTGGATGGTGCTGATACAGTGGAAGTCTGTGCCATGGCAAAGCCAGCTGGAGCCGGCACAAATCTTTAGGTCAACTTCCACAGGTTTTTTTAAGCAGACAAAAATTACCCCAGGTATAGAGGATTAGACCAGAAAGGAGAGCAGTGGTTCCTTGCCTCATTGAAGCCGGTGAGCAGACACCCGTCCTCCTCTGTCACCTTGGGGAGGTTGAGATTGTTCTGGATGAGCATTTCCATGCTATTCTCGCAGACGGTAAACTTCTCGCACATCTAGGGAGAGACATCGAGAGGTTTCATTGCACCTTGGCCGGTGGCAGCAACCTCCGGGTCTGGTGTGTGTGTCGCCCGAACCCACCTCCTCCTGTAGCTGTGCGGCCCGGGCGTGCAGCAGCCGCGCCAGCCGCTCGCAGTCGGGCAGCGCAGCCCGCCGCCCCGCCGCCTCCTCCAGCTCTGCCTCCCCCGAGGAGTCGGCTGCAGGCAGCGGCGCGGCGGCTGCCCGCGGCAGCAATAGGAGCAGCAGCAGCTGCAGGACGGCGCGGAGGAAGGTCTGGCGGCGGCGGGCGGCGCGGTTACGATCATGGTCACAGGCACAGCCCTGGGGAAACCTCATGGTGCGGCTCCTAGGCTCCGGCACCGGCCCTTTCTCGTCGGCGGGGCTGGCGGGTTGAATGAGCTCCGGACATCCTTGAACGTGTATTTATTGAGGGGGCTTCGAGATTATTCATGGACAAGGGAAAATCCGACATGAGAACACGGGGGTGTGTGCGCGGCGAAACACTGCTTTGGACAGTGCGGCGATTGTGAAACTACATGAAGTCATCGTGCTACTGCACCGTAATTCATTGAGGACCGGGCTATCTCCCATCCCTGCCGCCGGCAACGGCTTACCTGGCTCCACCGGGCAGGGGCTGCGGTCGGGTCCAGCTGCCGGCAGCCTTCGAGTCTGCCAGCTCCAGGTGCACAGAACATCTCTGAAATTGCATGCACCTACTACCTGTGTACACACATACTTACATTATATATATGCGTGTGTGTGTACATACACTTATGTGTGTACCTATACCTATGTGTGTACATATGTGTGTATGTATGTATATTTTTCCATATATTTTAAAGTGGTTTAGTGTTCTATAAATTTTATGTTATGTGTATTTATATTCTAGCTATTTTCATTAGTTGTGACCTCCAGCTGTCCCTGGAGGTCCCTTCCTACACTAACAATTTTGTGATTCTGTGATATATCTGAAACTAAATGCTGGATATGTGTAAGTCATAAGTGACCTCTCTCCCTGTTGACCTGTGTATGGCTGAAATGAAATACATCATGCTCACGCTCTTTAAGTGCGCCTTGAATAGGCCAAATCCAGCTCTGACAAGAGGGTGGCTGTAGGAAACATCACCCAGTTCCCTGCTATCTGCTGCCTTATCTCTTTCTGCCCATCTGGGAGGGGAGGTGGGATTTTTAACCTTTCACATAGGGGCTCTTTACCCAGGGCAAGTATGGCTATTCAGCTCAATTGTGTAGAGTGTGGACTGAGTCAAACTGTGCAAGGCATTCTGAAGTTGAACTTTTGGAATGTCTTAAACTGATTTTGGACAAGGTGACTTTTATCTTTTTTCTTTTTTAATGAAATTGGTGTTTTCTTACTTAAGGAAGACAGAAAAAGGCCTGATTCTGCTTCAGGAGGTGTTAGCAGGAGGGCACAAAGGGGAGAGAACAGGACATGGGACATAAGAGACAACACAGTGACCGAACTTGGGTGTCCTCATTTAGACTCTCCAAAAACCCCAGATATTTCTAATTCATTTTCTAAGGACATCCTGGATAGAGAGCTGCAGGAAAGAAGAGGGTACTACTGCATTTTTATTTAATGTCCTATTCCTCCAGTAGAGAGAAGCAGCTGCGGTTATTTTGCCCAGTAAAGAGATGTTAACACTGAAATGCAGGTGTGAGAGAGCCATTTCCAACAGCAGCAATCCCCCTCTGCCCAGTTTCCTGAGTGCAGCAGCGGGGAGCAACAGCAATAATGTTCTGTCATGTTAGCTCTCCCTCAGCAGGTCTGTGTCATTAGGCATAAGAATAAAGCACCCCACTAACAGTCTGTTTCATTAATATCAAATGAAAAGACCAAGGTGCCAAAGGATTAAAACAGCCAGAGCAGATGAGCTCAGTGCTCCTGACAGTCTGATAACCATCAGGGGCAGATACAACAGGATGGGAACTCGTGCATCCTCCTCTGTTTGTGATAGCACGTGGGTGTACATGTCTTGGATAGGGATTTCCTTCCACTGCCGGGTGGCTCTTGGGCTCTTCCCTCCAGACAGCCAAACTTTTCCTTTGCCTATCCAAAGGTTAAATATTAACGATTCCTAAAATCACCAAAACTCAGTAAAAGGCTGCATTTCCTTAAAAATATATTTTCAGCAGGTATTCTGTAAGTTAATCTTGTTTGTAGCTCTGGAATTTTTAATTCTGTAACTTTATTTTGTGAGCTGTCCTTTTCTCCTGGTGTCATGAAAATATTTGTGCCCTAGCAGTCTACAGAGAACCTTTTTGTGCTGAGCACTGCTGTACAGGGCCAAGTCTTACTAATGTGTGTAGTTATGTTTTCAGAGTGAAATAGAAGCAAATTTCAGCTGTTGTTCCTCATCTAAAAGCCTCTCAGCCTTCAGTTATTAGTGTCTCCTTTTGGGGTTTCATTTACTCTTTTACATCATTGTCTGTACGACTTTTCAGAAATACAAAGTGTGCTTACATACAACAGTGGAAGTTGTTCACTAATGCCTTAGAAACTCAGTTCGACAATCTAGGACAAAGCGTAGCATTCAAGGAAAGGAGGAACTGGAATTTACACAGTAGCATTAATATATTTCTGCTATTGCAGCTTCTTATGGAAAACCCACTTTTTAAATTGGTACTGCACGTCAAAGAAATACTTTGTGCTAATCTATCTATAATAACGGTTGAAGTCTGGTTTAAAGGGCGTTTATTAATCTGCACTGTACTACACTGAGTTACACTGATTCATCAGTAGCCACATTATTCAAAATGTAGTAAGCTCTGAACAAACAGCCCTTGCTCATGAGTTAGCTACCAGTCAGGAGATTTGCCTGTTGGTACTTTAAAATGTACAAGTAGTATTACTGAGACTCTGAGGTGTAATTCCTAGATACAGAAGAATTTCTTTCCTGCATAGCATCTTTGTAATACTGCATATTACTGTTCTGATGCCCTTTTGTTGCTATGGTTCTTCACGCCACTGTACAGGTTTTTTCTCCTGTAATTTATACTATAAGCCAGATCTTCTTAAGGTCGGATTTCAGAAGTTCTCAGTGTTTATCCAGCTTTCTCTTCTGTCTGAGCAATGAGCATTACTCCTGTACATTTCTGTGGGAAAAGAGGGGTCCTTTCTGAATGTTGTAAAATTCTCTCCTCTCAGACATGAAAATGACTCCTGGTTACAGTTCGAGTTTATAGCGAGGGAGCCCACCCAGGATCATCCCATGCATCAAACTCTAGGATCAGTGTGGCAACTCAGAGGCCCATTTCTAAACAGGTTCTGTTTCTTCTAGAATTGTTCTGCCTGGGAGCAAGCCCATATCACTTTTGTTCCTGATACCTGAGAAATTTGCAAACAAGAGGCTGTTTTCACGAGAGGTGGGTGACAGCAGTGTGGAAATGCTGCTGCCACTGAAGAATTCAACAGGCTGTGGAGCTGTCATGGTCAAAGCTTGTCACCCTTCTTCTGTCAACCACCAGGCACATGTCGTCAAGGAGTCCCACCATCAGCCAAGGTAAAACCCAGCAGTAGGAGACCTTGCGTGCTGAATTCTACAAGTCAATTAAATGGCTGTATAAGTGCAATTCCTAGATGGAAAAATAAGGTCTTTTAATAAAGCAGGAGGATTACTAAGGCTGCAGTATGTTCTACTCTGATTTATTTGGGTATTTGGTTCGACTGTTTTTTTCTTTCTAATAAACTACACTATTCTATGGTAGTAATACAAACCACTAATGTTTATTCAGAGATTATGATTTCAGATTGTACTGTTGGTAATAAGAGAAGAAATACAACTAAAAATGCAGTTCTTCCATAAGTGTTAGTTTTTGTGTGGAAGAAAATGCCAATGGTTGGTAGACTGTTCAAGTGGGATCATGACAATGACTGAAAAAAATAACTTCTGAATGTCTTGAATGAGGTTGGAAGATTATGTCCAATTCCCCTGACATATTTTTGGTTGAATCAAAGCTAGGAATGAGGAGCCTTGAGTTTCTACAGATCTTGTAAAAAGTGGAGATGAATTCTTTGTTGTCTATCAAGATGTGAACACTTCATCTTTTCTAGAGCTTGTTTCTTTTAAGGATCTTTATATTCAGCATTCACTGACATTACAGTCACTTATCTCTAAACGCTTATGTGCCTCTTCTCTACTTTTTCTGGAGTTTTTTGTGTCACAAAGCATTAGCAGAATCATCTTCAGCAGTCTCCATCAAAAATCACTAGCTTCAAAAACTAATTCATTTTTGTCCATGCATTTTCAAATAAATGGTCACCATTGGCTCTGCTAAGAGATGAAAGCATGAGGCTTAAAGCAAGCTGCCCTGTGCTGCATTTGAACTGAATGGGTTGAAGAGGTCATTAATGTCATGTGTTCATGTTTCTCGTAAGCAAACATTGCTTTCAGAAGCTGCACATCACCAAAAGGCACTGGTGGACTTGACTAATGGCCCTTGGATTTTGTGGCTTTGCAAACTGGTTCTCTCTTTGTTGTTTCCCAGGTAAATGCAGAGTTGTTTGTGGATTTTTGGTGAAAAGCTTTGGGGATTGCTCATTTTACTTCATTTTACGTCATTAAAGGTAGACTTGCATCATTTTCAAGTAATACTGGGATGTGTAGTAATAGACATTCCCCCCTGCCCCCCCCCAGTGTTTTATGTGCAAATACCATGAATTTCCATGCCTTAAGCTAAATCAGAGGTTTAGAGGAAAAATTCTTAGTTAGCTTTAGATTATGTCCTTATTTTCAGCTTTACCTTCTTAATGTTGAGGAGAGAAATCATGTCAATGAGAAATGAGACCATGAGAAATCATGGTCTTCTCTAGTCAGCTTCTCTAGTCTCTTCTAGTCTCTAGAAAGGCAGGTATGCAGCTGTAAGTGAAAGATCTAGAAACTGTTCTTGGGGGATATCTGAATGCCACAGGTCACTTTAAGTAGACGCATCTTCAAATCAAAACAATTGCAGATGGTTTAGCACTGCAATAGAATATCGAAACGCTCACCAGTGAACCTAGATTTGCACAAGGAGCACTTTGCTGCTGTTGCTGCACTGATGGTGTCACAAAGCAATTCCACAAACTTTTCCCATGGAAGAAAGGTAGCTCTTGCATTGTCTCCACCATGGCACAGTGTTCCTTATGTGGTGATGCTTCTTTGTAGGGCTGCATGAATCACAAAAGCAGAGAACTGGCCATATTAGAAATACCCCGGTGGCCTTCTGTCTTTCACAAGCAAGCATGATACCTGCATGCTGTTATCTGCCTTGTCTGTGATCATAGTCCACCATAGTCCACCATGGCAACACACTGTTTTGACAAAGACCCCATCTTATGAGTACTATGTCGGTCTGCACTTGTTGGTCTGCACTTCTATAGAAAATGTTATTTGAACTAAATTCCACTTGTGTTTAAGGAACTTCTTAGTTCCCTTTGAGTTCTCTTCTATGCATGAAAGATGAAAATTTGAAGAAGTTGTATGACAGAGGTGAAGAGTGAGGCTTTTCGGACACTGGGGAAGATGATGAATCTGAAAAGAGAACACTGAGGAGCCTGAGTGTATGGGAGGTACTTAACAGTATGTTTGTTATCTTTCTAGTTTGATGCTTTTAACATAATACAGTAGACAGAGATTTGGGTTAGAAAGCGTTCAAAAGACAAGTTCTCTCTCTGAGATGCTTGCTCAGTGCCAAAGAAAACTGAAGGGGTGTCAATGTTTACCCATAAAGTAATCACACTTGTGAATGCATACCAAGCCTAATTCGGTTCAGTAACCATCGCATCTATTTCACTCTTACATAAAAGTTTGATATGTTGCTCAATGAGACGTTTGTAGATCTAAATGTGTTTACCCTCATTCATGCCAAAAATTTTGGTGCCCATAATCTCATTATTGGAGTGTTCTCTTGCTCGGTTTCACATTTAGCCATGCATTCTTGTTCTGCTTTTCCTTCTGATTGCCTCTCTGTGATGTTGTAAATCACCTACACATGACCCAAGGCGCTTAATAGTATTTTTAATATTTTTTTCCCAGAAAGCAACAGTTTCTTTCTGCACTGAGAACAGAAGTTGGGTGGCATCAGTGGTTATTTTTGCCATTCTATGCGGAATGATGCAAGAGATAGTACCTTTCATGCTTCAGAGAGCTTTATTTCTCCATTGGGGGTTATAATAGGGAAATAGAGCTGAAAGTTGGTAGGTGCAAATTATTTCCCTTCTGAGTATAATGAGACCTTTAGAGTGTCCAGCTGGAGGTCTATCTTTTACACATGCTATAATGTGGTAGTGCTGCTGATGAAAGTATTGTAACTCCATCACCAGAATCAGATGCAGTATATTCCTTTTAGGAGATAACATTTAATTAGCAGTTCATATGTGTTGCAAATTTTTCTTAGGAGATGGGTAACTAGAAAACCAAAATATACCTGCAATAACTGTTGTGTGGTTCCATGAAGGTTTTCTAGCTCAAGGATCCTGTAGTGACATGGTGGAAGTGCTGTGGAATTTGGCACTTATGGTCACATTTTTGGCCTTACAACCTTGTTGAGAAACCTGAATATCAGTACTTGGAAAGTGCCTTACACATTGGGTGTTTCAGGTCTTTCTTCGTTTCTGGGTGAGTTCTAGTAAACTCCTTTATTGTTCTAAACTGAATTTGTAAAAGGAAACCTACTTACTATAGTGGGAGCCCTTTCTAATTACATGCCAGCACACTATAATAGGATTAATAGGTTGTGCTGGATCTGTAATCTTCATTCTTCCTATGCTGCTGCTTTTGAAGTAAAGGTATCCTGGGGTCCAGGCTAGCTATAAGGACATTGATTATTGATTCCATTATCAGAGGATTCAAGTGGTCTAGATCCAACAAGATTTTTCCTTGAGATGACCAATTAAATGGTCAGGTGCTTTTTGTTTATATTGCTCAACCAGGATGTGGAGATTTTGAATCATATCCCTTCCCTATCTAAAGGGCTTATGAACCCAGATTTGCTACTTTACAGGAAAGTCCCCCAACTCCTAAGAATAATCTTGGCCAAGATGGTTTCCAGTCTCTCTTCCTAAAGTGGACCATTTTTTATCAGAAAGTCTGAGGTCCACGGTACCACCTTGGACTGATCTGGATTCCAGGTGATATTTGCTCGATACAAGAAATTCAGCCTTTGGGCAGAAATACGAATTGATTCCGAGGAAGCACTCTGACCTCAAAGCTGTTGGGTAAGCCTGGGCATGGGTGAGGGCCTCAATTCCTCCATGGGGTGTATTTTGAGAGGAGAAGCTGATCTGTATAGTGAAACCCAGGAGGACCGGGTGTTGGATCCTCCACAGCAAAGATCCTGGCTGCTTCTCAGGAAGAGACACCTGCTTTCTAAGGAAGGAAAAGTTTTTCTCCCTCGAGTTTCTTATGGGCTGGTGCAAGAGCTCCTCACACAAAAAAAAACCAGTTCTCACTCATTTCTCAGTGGGGGCCCTGCCCATGGCTGGTGAACACCATGGCTCTGCCCTGCCCCAGTCAGGCTCCTCTTGCTATGAAGTCCCCTGGTACTGCTCATCCCCAACTCAGTGTGCACTGTTTCTCCCTGCTGATGTTAAAAATACAAGAGAAACTGGAAGTTAAATATAAGAACCAGAAGCAGGCTGGTTGGAACTGAAAACTCCCCAGCTCTTCCCTGTGCCTGAATTCTGGTGTGGAGAGGGAAAGCGTTGTTTATCTCCCTTTGAACTTTAGCTATGCAGCATCAAGCGTCACTCCCTGCTGCTCTTGCTTTGGTCTTCATTTCTTGTAATTTATAGTTACTCAAATCTTGGGATTTCTATGGTTTGCTTTTTTTCTGATATTAGTTGTCTGGGCTTGTCAGGGTAAAGTGCTTAGACTTCCAACACAAGTCATGGTGAATGCAGCAAAGTGTATTTTCCTTATTCGCTCAATAACCACTGGCAAGCATCAACAGTGAGCAAAGACTTTGATCAGAATTACAGGCACTTTTAAGAAAGGATAAATTAAACATCTCTGTTTCATTTTGCAGTGATTTTATTATGTGTTTGCAACAGTCTATGCAAAATGTCTGGCGTGAATTTCCATATTTTATACATTTTGTAAAATTACAAATTTCTGGAAGTTTATTTTCTACTGTTTTTTTATAGAATCATAGAATACTTAGGGTTGGAAAGGACCTTAAGATCATCTAGTTCCAACCCCCCTGCCATGGGCAGGGACACCTCACACTAAACCATATCACCCAAGGCCTTGTCCAGCCTGGTCTTGAACACTGCCAAGGATGGAGCATTCACAACCTCCCTGGGCAACCTATTCCAGTGCCTCACCACCCTCACAGGAAAGAATTTCCTCCTTATATCCAATCTAAACTTCCCCTGTTTAAGTTTTAACCTGTTACCTCTTGTCCTATCACTACAGTCCCTAATGAAGAGTCCCTCCCAGCATCCCTATAGGCCCCCTTCAGATACTGGAAGGCTGCTATGAGGCCTCCACGCAGCCTTCTCTTCTCCAGGCTGAACAGCCCCAACTTCCTCAGCCTCTTCATACGGGAGGTGCTCCAGTCCCCTGATCATCCTCGTGGCCCTTCTCTGGACTTGTTCCAACAGTTCCATGTCCTTTTTATGTTGAGGACACCAGAACTGCACTCAATACTCCAGGTGAGGTCTCACAAGAGCAGAGTAAAGGGGCATTTTTAATAGGAAATTTTTAAAGTCATATAGAAGACATTCCTTGTACACTGCTATGCCATCATCAGCTAAGTGCTGTGTCTCCCATTTAGTCTGGGTGGCACATGCCTGTTTTAGTGAAATCTGCTTCTAATTCCTATGTGACCATTATCTGGCACTTCTGTGGTTTCTAACACACTACCAATGTGTGTCTTTGCTGACACATGCATCTCCATCCTATACCTCCATGGCAGACTGAAGGACCTTGCTAGCACACTGTTCCTCAAACACTGGGGTGCCGTCTCCAGATTTATCTCTGGCGAGCCTGGTTTCCCCCTTCAAATCTAATTTAAAGTTCTTTCAATGAGCCCTGCTAACTCTTGGGAGGTGGGAATGTGCTACCAAATGGGTGATAATGTGGGAAAGATGCTACCAAAAAGAGTATCAGGCTAATCCATAATCTGCCTTCTGCCGTGAGTCACTTTTTCTCACCACCTCCCATGTGTGTCAGTGCTGAGCAGTTGTGTCAGACTAGGGAGAGGATCTAGTTGGAAACTGAGACACCAAAGGAATTTAATACAAAACAATTTTAACCAGGATCTTTTGTGTGATCTGAGTCACTGAACGTCTACCCAAATGCTTGTGTCAGTGTGATGGAGGCAGCTGCAATGCCTGACTACTAGGACCATACCAATTACAGCTTTATGTTGAACATGAGAAATGTTTTACCTCATCTCAAATAACATTCACCTCTCGCATTTCCAAAGCAGCAGATACTCTTGAAACCACGTAATAAAAAGAGAAAGTTTTAAGACATTAACATGTTCATCACTCTATTAACAGACAAATTCAAATTGATTTCATGAGGACTTTTGTCTCCTCACCTCCTTTCAGCTCCAGATCATGCTTTGGGCATATTTGCTATTCCCTGAATGGTTGTCTTGGCCTACAGAAAGCAATTGCATATGTTTTGTGCTGTTTTAACTACTCTGATTTTGACAGGACTCATCTGATGAAACAGCAGAGAAAGTCAAGTTGAAGAGTTTTGCAGCCACACACCACTGTCAGTGCATGCTTTGCAATCCAAATAGGTAAATCCACAACTGACAATTTTTTCTACTAAGCAATGTGATGGGGTTGCACAACCTGTTAGACAACAAATTTTGCCAGAGCTCCCAGTGATCTTGGGTCTACTGAGAGCCTCTGCAGAATCAAAAGCCTGCAAAGAGTCAGCAAAACAGAGCTGATGTTTTTTGGCTTCTGACGATGATAAGAAATGTGTGGGAGGCTCCTTTCACATCTCCAGAATTCCATTACTTCATTCTTCATAGTTTCCTTTTCGTGTCCCTGTTGAGCAAATTTTTATATATTGTTTCAGAGAACCAGTCACAGGGGTAATGAAAATAGCTGCTTCTCAAAAGCGAAAGATCAATGCCACACAGAGGGAAAGCTGTTTTAAAACTTTCTCAATGGTATGGTAAAATTACTGCAAGGGGGTGAACTCAATGGCAACATTTCTATTAAATCCATTATGAACCTGGCAGGAAAGACAGACAAATGGGTAAAGTGGGAAATATTTTCTACCATCCCTCCTACCTTCTGTACTATTTGTTCACTTTCTTTTGACCTTCAGCTCCTTCTCAAAAAAATTTTTCTAGAAGTAGTACCATCAGAACAAACACTACCACAGAGAGATAGATATCCTCAAAGAAGAAAATGAGTCAGAGCATATATATCAGAAAAGGAGGAACTAATGGTTCCAAACATTAGATGACATCTGCTTGAAATTCTTTGCTTGCCATTGACTAGGACACTTCTTTGCCAGGGGACAAAGTCACTCTGCCTGTTCTGCCACTTGTTCCTTTGGGTTAGGCCCTTAAGCACTAATAATCTTCACATACCCTGGAGTAACAAGGAGAATGTAATGATTAATTGTCACAAAGTACATGATGGGACCATGACATTTTGTAATTCCAAAATGAAGTTCCAGGATTTCTGGAGTAACAAGCTTTTCATTTTGAAATGAATTTTACGTGGTTGCTTGTGAGAAGTGATACCTTTTTTCAAAGATTTTTAAATAGTTGTGGGTTGGTTTTGTTTTTTTTAATTTGAAAAAAAAGTTGAAATACTTTAAAGTGATTCATTAAGGACCTTTTCCTGAATAGCTTTTTATGAACAGGGACATGTAGGGACCTGTAATCCCACACAGCAGTGTCTCTTGATACTCCTGAAGTTTGGCATTAATTCCCTGCTGATAGGCATACTTGCTGTATCCTCAAAGCCTGCCCTGCACTTAGGTTCTCTTTCACCAAAATGTCTTTTCCCTCAAATCAGATTTTGCCTAGCATGTTCCCTTGTACACGTGCAGTGGGCTTCCTTTCAATGTTAATACAGCATCACACTATAAAGTATAGACAATTTCAGGTTTGACCTGGACTGAAAAAGACATGGCATGCCATTTCCTCTGTTAGCATCAGACAATACGTTTTATTACCTGTAGATCACTGTTCCAGCTTCTGTGGGTATTTATCCTACTTCTGCTCTTTCCTATCTTTTTTTCTTCTTTACTTCCCTCTTGCTTTAGCACTTCAAACCTGCCATTCTCAAGCTATCAGGAAGAAAAAAAAGTCACATGGAAAGCATCCTTATGGTACTCTACCACAACCCAAGGCTACTCTGCAACCTTGCAAAAGAAATATCAATGACAGTTTTGCATCACTTTAATTTTCTTCCCTTCAGTAACCCGGAATGGTTTTAATAAATCAGAAGTAATTTATATGAAATAGAAAATGTTTCTTTTTAGCTGGGAATGCTCTAAAATATCAGGAGCGGCTCTTGGCACCTCCAAATTGCAGGACAGCTGTGATAGCTGCTCAGCTTTCTTGTCTTGACCAGAAAGTGAATTAGAAATGACAGCCTACAATGTGTTAGCTATTTATAAACTTACATTATATTAAGTGATGTGTGAGAAATCCTTCCAGTGGACCATTGTCCCTGATGTCCCTTGCTCTGCAGCTTGGTAGCAATGCTCTGTGGATGCTGTCACACTGCTGCAGGGCCTGGTTGGCACTGAGCGCTGCCACAAAGCTTATAAGAAGCCACAGTGTCAGACTTTCTGAACCACAGCTCCTATTTTCTTAAATATCACCCTCAGTGATACTGCTGTTCTCTTCCTGATACAAAAAAGGAGCAGAATTTCATCAGCTATACTACATACCTACACTACAGACAGTATTTGCACTGTACTATAGTCAGCTGTACTATGTCAGCTATACTGATAGTGACAGGAGAGAGGGGAAGCTGGAGCTGGTTAGCCATCTGGGGGCATTCCCATGCCCTGGGTTCAAGCTCCCTCAAGCTGATTCATAGCAAAGCTGCTGAAAGCTCAACACTGTTTTACACTCCAGAGAAAGGAGGAATCGGCTCCTTTCCCCTGGTGGACAAACAGCAGCTGTGATCATGCTGCAGTCTGGAGTAACTCTGGTTAGAGAGACAGTCTGTAAATTTTAGTCTTGGCTCTGAAAGGAGAAAAAGACATGTGATGCCTTTTGATGGCATAAACCATTATGTTTTACATAGTAACTAGTTGGGTTTATGTAAATAATGTTGTCTTATTCTATTATAAATAACCATTCACATTCACATGGTTTGTGTTACTTCTCTCTGCTGGCTTCCAACTTCCCAGTCTTCTGCATTTTATTCACTACAGTTAGTTTCCAGTACTGATAAATCTAATCTTTGACTATCCATACCATGCAGGTACCATTTTTCCTAACTAAATAACAGCACCCACAAAATTCATCTTTTAAGATTAGTGCTGTTACCATTGAGCTGCAACAGAAGGTTAAGGTTATTCTTGTTGGCAGTTTTACTTCTGTTGTGTTTTGTTTTTTTTTAATGATGGTTTTGTAAGGAACTGAGCAGATGAAAGAATTAGGTCTGGTTTAAATTTCTAGGATGAAATTCCAGAAGTTCCACTTGGCATGCTTAAGACATTTATATTATGTTTTGAGCAGGGGATCAGGGTTTTTATTCATAACTGTGGTTGAAATTAGAAAGTGAAACTCCTTAAATGTGGAGCATGACATTAAAATTTTTTAAGAATCTATTTCTATGTGTAGATTTCTTAAAGATTACTGGGGAAAAGATTTTCTTGTACCAAGTGATTTTTTGCCCCTTCAAGAAGAGTTCAAGAAAATTGGCAGGAGGCCAACAAAATCCATCTTGTTGATATTCCCCATATTGCAAAACTATTTTAGCTATGGGTACTACAAAATCAGTGCTGGTAACTGTTTTTCTGGGAAAGCTGATTGAAAAGGATAACACACTGGGATAATAAGCCATGTGTCAACAAACAGAGAGATTAGAAGGAAACTGAAATCTCTCCTATTGGTAGCTAACTCCTAAGCCTTGATTTCACCTCTGCTCATGTTTCTCCAGCTAGTAACTCCAGAAATGAAACTGAGCACTATGGCAGCATTTTGTATCCCCATGACCAAACAGATAAGCTCTGACAATAGAGATACGGTTGAAGCTATGAACACACTGTCAGCTACGGTGCAGTTAGTTTGTCTCTTTTTTCACACTTTTGGGATAATCATAAGTCATTTTGGATCACAAGTGTGTCATCATTTTTTCTGCCCCTTCTGCCATTCAAGATACAGCAAGTCTGGCATTTTCCCAGAAAACTTCTAGATTATTGTGGGGCAAAGTGTGCCTGTGAATTTTGGAGGGACTAGTACATGGAAGCAGAGCCCTGGGAGCAAGTATTCTTAGTTTCAGACCTCTCAGATGAGGACAATAACACACATGAAGAAAAGCAAACCTGGGCCATTTAGTTAAGAGGGTGGGGAGAGGAGATGACCCAGGAAGCCTTATGTGATTGGCTGCTATAGTATGCAAAGCTCTCAAGAAAACTTTGGATGAAGGGACAAACTGGGAGGTGAACAGGATAAAATTAAACATGTCTTTACAGCACTGGATAGTGTCAGCCCAATAGACTCTTTGAGAAGCGATACATGTTTTCTTCCCGGGAATTTCAGTTAAGCCTTTTCAGAGTCTTGTGTGATGTAGGGATGAGGGAGCTGTGAGAAAACAGGGATTAGGTGTGTACAGAGTTGGCTAAAAGGGAGATATCACTGCTTAGTGTTAGTATGTATCAGAGAGGAATTCATGAGCTGGGTGCTGTGATGGCAGTAAATATATTGGATGGAAATAATTGTGGAATGGAAGGAGCCTGGTGTATACAGTGGATGGGCTGTTAATGTGCCAGAGTGGTCTGGTGAGGTATATCCAACAGAAAAGAGGGAAGCTTACTGTCTTGATTCAAAGATGTTTGTGAGAATCCATTTAAATTTTGCTGGCACAGGTGCCCAGAGGCTGTTGAATAACCATCCTTGGAGCTGTGCAAAGCTTGACTGGATGGGGCACTGAGCAACTTGATCACACTTTGAACTATATTTAAGTGAGGAGGTAGCCTAGATGACTTCTAGAGGTGCCTTCCACCTGAATGATCCCATGCTCCATTGGAACAAAGAAGCTCCCAGAAACCGTTCACAGCACATGAGTGAGAAGCAGGAGGAAAGAAAGGATAAGTCCTCAAACCCCAAAGTGCTGTTATGTCAGACCTTTAAAACAGGATTATTTTATACATGTAGGTGGTATGTAGGAAAGAGACTGAGCACCAGGGTGTTCTTTCCAGGCTGTAAGCCTTACAGGGAAGACATGCAGGGACAAGACAGAATGTCTTGCGAACTCTTATGTTTAGGTCTCACAGCTTCGCAGCAACAACAATCCCTTCTTAGCATTTTTTGATAGAGAGGAACTCAGGAAATTATTTATTGGCTGTCTTTATCACTCATTTCCTCAGTATAGCTTTCACAAGGTTCAGGGAAAAGCTTTGCAGGAAAGCTGAAGATGGCCAAGTAATGAACAAAAGAGATGTGCTGAAGTTTGGGAAGAATCTTATTTTTCAGTGGAAAAAAAAGTACATCTGAGGCAGAAATAGGATTAAAAAAAAAAAAAAAAAAAGGAGTGGTGGGAAAAGGAAAGAACCAAAACAGAAGCAAGGAGAAGAAGGAGAAAGAGGAGCCAGAAGTCCAGATTTGCTAAAGAGATTAGAAAATTTGATTTTTTTTGGCAGATACACAGCCTCTCCTAAATCATTTAGAAAGTGAAATGAAGTGGGGAAGAAAAATTGACCTGTTTTTGAGCCATGGAATTACAGAGCTTGCAAAAGATGGGGTATCTAGCCACAAAACCAACAAATTGACTCAACCTTCTCTCCCTAGCAACTCATCTTCTCCAGTGAGCCTAAGTGGGTTGGTAGGATTATCTCCAGGGGAAAGAGGCAGTTGATTCATCAGGCCCATCCATACTGAGACTTTCTTGTTTATAACTCAGTTTTCTTCCAATGTCATTCCACTGAAACAAATTCAAGCAATTTAGCTCTTTGTCCAGTAGACCTATATTAACAGAGAAACACATGTGCAAGGACTGGGCTTATAGTTTACTGAGCTCAATAGAAATACTATAACTAGATGGCCAGGATAACATTTTTTAAAACAGTATTTATTTTTATATTGAAGTAGCAGGCAAAAAGATAAACAGAGAAGGGCAAAATGGAATAAATTAAAAGATATTTTCATGTGAGAGGATATCTTATTCACTGGTTTTATTTGTACCTGGTAGGAAAACCTCCACATGCTTTTGGTAATCTGTAGATAGGGCTACAACTCTGATGCTAAAGAGGTACACAATGAGTTGTACGATTTCTAGTGACTTAAGGCTCAGCTTGCCCTAGGCTATATACTCAAAATGTAAGTATAAACCTTCACTGACTCATGATAAAATTCTCCTGGTATGGCCAATGGGGACCCTAAAAAGTCTTGGCCTTTATATACCTGTGAGGTGCAAGACAGCTATACATGCAAGATGTGTGTAGTTCTGCAATACTCTCCCTGAAGCCTTTCTCTGAGTTCGCACTGATTCAGCCTTGCACCAAGAACCAGGGCACAGCTTTCTGTCTCCTGGTACCCTACAATCTGCTGCCTCTCAGGTGACTGTCTCCATCGCATGGGTGGCTCAGTGTGACCCAGGTTGCTTGCAGCACACTCACCAGTATCACTGCTCTCAGCCTGCATTGTGAGCTCTGCACGTATCTATGTGTGTGACCATGTACTGGGGGCTACTTGCTGAGGTGGCAGGTGTCCTGCTCTCCCAGCACAGGCATGGGCAGGATCATTTGTCTGAACACTTCAAAACAACCTCCACAGGAAAAAGTGTTTGAATCATTTGGAAATGCCCAGAAAACAGCGCATGGGCTGGCACCTCTCCAGTGACTCAAAGACCCAGGGCAGTTATGCATATGCTGGAGGAAGACATGAGGGAAGACACTTCATTGTGGCGAAGGCATCAGGCACTTTCAATTGCCTGACACTTGAGGAAACAGCAGTAGAGAGAAGTATGCTAGCTTGGCAGTTGGACACTGCAAGAGAGACCAAGTGAAAACCAAAACATGTTCATGCTTGCGCAGAAGAGGATTCTCAAATGCTTTCTTCCACTTCTCTCGCATGCTTGTTTCTTTTTTCCACTGCAGTCAACAGAGAGTCTCATAAACAATAACCTCAGTCAGTTGCAGATGTTTGCCTCTGATAATGTATTTACATTGCATTCATTTCCTGTAAGGACATGTTGTCTTTCTCACCATAAATATATTTAGTAGGATTGATATTCTGAGTGGCTAAAAATTTGCTCTTGCATCCTCTTCTGAACTCTCTGGTCTTTAAGGATCAGCTTTTCAATAAGCTCTCTTACTACTACTCCTTCTAGTATCTCCTTTCAGCTTTAGGAATTCTCAGTGGCAAGTGGTCTCTGGATCTATCTCCTGAAGTGTGGTTTCTGCGTCTATCTCCTGCTTTGGATCACAAAAACCTTCCCTTGTCTGATCTACCTTTCCCAGTTGAACTAGCTGTCCTTTACCCCTAAGCCCTTTTGATACGGCTTGTCTGTCTTAGTGGAGGATGCAGTGTGGCTTGAAGACAGTGCTGCTGCAGTGCACCCAAAAACCTGAGAAAGGAAAGTTGTACTAGCTTTGGGAGGCCAACAACTCCTCTGCAGGGCCTTGAATCCAGTGCTGGACCTGACTACCACTGCCTTGCAGAGACCAGTGCTGCCTCAGGAGAAATGTTTGCCCTCCAGCTGGACTGTGTTCTTGTAAAAACAGTAGTCTGTGTCAAAGTGAGCTAAACAGAGCAATCAGAAGAGGAAATGAAAACTGTCATTCTTTGACATATCATACAGTGCAATAAGAATGCAGAACAGCTGTAAGCTAAATAAGCCACCTAATAATTTTTCATGTTGTCCTTTTTACAGACTTCACTATAGTGTTACTAACTTGTGGCTCTTGTCTGGCAATTAAATGGTTAGCGATGGTAAAGTATTTCTGCCATTTAAAAATGTGTTTTTCATACTCTCTTGAAAAACAAACAGGATAAACTGTAACTGGTAACTGCTTTTGGAATGTGACTTGCTTTCTAAGTCTTCTAAGAAAACAAAACACAATCTCCAGACCCCACTCCTAAAGAAGCAAAAAGCAAAACAAACTCGCTTGCATTTTACATGCATTTTTTTAGAGAATAAGTTTTGCTTATTATTCTTTCCACTTCATCTAGAAATATAAGTTACTGCGTACTTTAAAAATTAAAAGGAAAAAAACCCAAACCGCAAACCAAAAGCCCCTCCAAACAATTCAGTCAAACCCTGTTCTCATTTTCGCCTGTCTGCTTAGTTTTAGAAAAGAAAATATTGGCAAGTGACGAAGCTAAAGTTTTCTCTTTTTAAAGCCCTTTATCTTCCATTTTCGTTATGATTTCAGGCAAGTTTACAAGAACTATTTCCTGGACTTTCTTAGAATTGCTAAAACTCGTCCCTCTGCTCCTCACTCCTCAAACAAGATCTGCTTCATGCCCTACACTGAATGCATCTTTGACAAACATTTTCATTGCCTTCTCTTGAAGACGCATATAACACACAGGAGCCATGGTGCAAAGGAAATGAGGAAATGCTCTCTTTACTACTGTTTCAAAATGAAAATTAAAATACCCTCCCCATCCCTTAGGACAAAATGGCAGTGGCAGTGCAGGCTGCTGCATGGCCTAGGTGCCCAGGCATACTGAAGGAACTGCCACGGGCTGCTTCTGCCTAGAGATGGGAAGAGCAATGGGATCCTCATCTCTTTTCTCTTGCCTTCACTTCAGCCTCCTCAAACTTGCCAGCTTTCTACTCTATTTTCCAGCCTCCTAAAGAACAGTACTTAATTAGCTAATCTCATGTGTCCACTTCTGTTCTGTACTGCAGGTGGTTTCACAGCACCAATCTCATCAGGAGGATACCACAGTAGCAGTGCCACCCTTACATCATGCATTAAATAAGCATCACAGAGAGCAAAAGGATAAACATGTAATAAATATTTGTTTCTTTCTACATTTGCATTACTGGGTTTGAGCATCTGAGGCATATTTAGCTGTTTTTCAAACTCCTATCTACCAACACAAGATTTAACAATCGCTTTATTATTATTACTGTCATTATTGTCACTATTATATATGAAATTCTAATCCACCATAAGGACCCTGAGGATATTATGGTTCTAATAATGGTACCACCCATACTGGAACTCTTAATAGAGTACTGTGAGCTGTACTGTGAGACTGTAAAGAAATGCTGGCTTTCAGAATGTTTATAATCTTTCTTCCCGAAGATGAATTGCCTAAGGAAGAAAATACGAGGAAGCTAAATTTGCTGTTTTGTTTCAACATAAAATGTGCAGGGAACACTACTGGCATGGCCAAGTTAAACACCCTTTAACAACTCAAGTAAGCATAAGGACCTCAGGACACCTTTCAACTGAGGAAACTTCTTTGCTGGCATCAGTGTAGTATAGCTGTGTAGTATTGTTCCATAAAATCTCAAATTCTCTTTCTGCCATTCACGGTACTAATGCAAGGTAAGGATTAATAAGTATTTATACCTTGCTGGCTTCTGGTAGTTTCTCCAAACTGCTGAAATATAACAGAAATGCAGCCTCTTGTCTGAGGGTTTACAAGGGTTGGTGTTTATCTCAATTGCTTGTCAAGGCTCACAGCATATTTCTTATGTGTTAGAGATGGTAGCTAAAACAAGGATAAAAGCAGCAATTTAAGTCAAAAGACAGAGCGAAGAAGATGAACTTCTAATGATGGATTTATTGCTATCTTTTGGTTTTGGCTTAGGCCCTTCCTTAACATGAGGTAAGCTATAGCCTTCATTTTAGTTAGTGCTGAAGAGAGGGCTGCTTGTCAGAGAGAACTCCTAAGAGAAGTTACTGGCAGCTTTGGACTTGTGTGCAGAGCTATCACCAGGAGAGACACCGTTGAAGCCATGGTGGTCCTTGGATGACCTCTGGCAGCCTGGGTTGAAAACTGTACTGTTCAGACAAGACAGAAACCAGGGCCTGGGTACATCTGTGAGCATGCAGTTATGCCCAATGACTGCGAAGTTGAAGTTCACTCACTCCTATGATTTCCGCTGTAAGGACTGGTGTCACTTCCAACAGCCGGTTTCTTGGCTCACCCTCTGGCAGTGGCCCAATACCAGCACTGTATTCTAACACATCACCAGGGGTTGTCAGCAGAAATTTTGGGAGAAAAACCCACCAGCATTGCTCATTATAATCTTTCAGATGTCAGAGTGCTGAGCAGTGAGGTTTAAAAGAGAACAGCAGCAAGGAAAGAGCATTTGTTCCTCATGACTGATAAAAGTAATAGTGCAGATCCCAGCGTCAGTTTCATGGACTTGTAATATATCCATGAATCCATCCAGTAATTAAAATACCTAACATTTTTGCATATTGCACTATTTCAAATTCATAAGACCATCATCTTTTCTTCACCACCAAATCCTAGCTTTTCATGCTGTCTGCCACACAAATGATCCTGAAGTGCTTGTAATTACCCAGTCTCTGTAGTGACTAGGTCACATAATCACACCTAACTTCACTGTCACTGTGTATCAGCTTTCCCTTGCCTGCTATTTAATTTTATTTAGGTTTTATTTAGTCTGTTTATTTTACTTACTTAGTTTCCTTTAACTATTTACCTGCTGCTTGTTGTCTGTATCTTGGGTTATAAAATCAGGGCAGGGGAAAGTCAGCTTCCTGGTGAGTTGTAGACTGCTACTGACCATAGAATCATAGAATGGTTAGGGTTGGAAAGGACTTTAAGACCATCTAGTTCCAACCCCCCCATGGGCAGGAACACCTCACACTAGACCATGTCGCCCAAAGCTCTCTGCAACCTGGCCTTGAAGACTTCCAGCAATGGAGCATTTACCACTTCTGTGGGCAACATGTTCCAGTGACCATGAGATTTACTTCTGGCAGGGGTCTCCAGACTGTCATATAACATAAAATGGTGAAAACCACTACGTAGGTTGATCTGAAGGGTTTATGAAAAATTAACATTTCCTAAAAGATGAGTAGGACAGCCTAAAAGTCTTTAAAACTCCTTTAACTTGTATTTTGATTTAGTACCCAGGTACCATTCATTGCTCTGCAGAACCACTTAAGTAAATCAGAAAGGAGAGAGCAATTGGATAACATCCTACCCTCACAATGTCTTTCTTGGGAATGAGACTTACCTTCTTTTGACTCCATGAGATGAAAGCTCAAAAAGCTTTCATCAAAAATGAGATGAAAGCTCACTTCATTGCTTGTGGTCATTCTCAGAAAAGACAACACATGATTTATTTATCCCCTTTTCTAAGAGATTTTCCCCTAAAACCAGCACAGACTGTGGTGATAGGAGTTTTTTTACCTCATTTTTCTTTTTTTCCTGTGGAAAAGCTGGTGATGTAGGTCTGTACTACTACCAGTTTAGACTACTGTACATGTCAGAAGGCTCGGTGTGATACACCACCCTGCTTTGCTAGGACCATGCCACAGGAGCTGCCGTAGAAATATCAGTGCCAAAGAAGACACCACAAAAAGGAAAATGATGACTTCTGTACTTCTATTTCTGCTGTGCAGTCCAAATCCATACTGGCTATACAAGACAACATGAGGTGTTTCTTTATAAGCAATCACCTTATTCCCAAATTTTCAGACTGTCTGGAAGGGAGGGTAAAGGTAACAGCCCAAATCCCAGGTTTCCCTGACTCACTGCTGCATTGTGGCTGTGTCCTCCAGCTGTTTCCAAGTAAGTAATATTTTCTGCTGAGTCACAGTATTACAAGGCATTTTCTCTTTGTGATTAATCCCTTTACCCCAGAGAAGACGCAAATGTGCTTCTGGTTTCTGTTCTCTCCCACACTGGGGAAAGTTCCTGGGTCATGGAAAATGTGGTTTCTCCTCCCTTTTATGTCACACCCCCCTTTTTCCTGGCTCCTGCTCACACCCAGCCTTATCTCTGGGGTATGGAAACCACCACAGCTGCCTTAGGGAACCTTCAGTTATCCCACTTACTGCCCATCTTACTAACCAGCCTCTGTCAGAGGATGGCTGTAAATGCTTTTTATGGGGATTTTCTTCAGTGTGAACTGCTGTAGTTGCAAAGTACTTGTAGTACTCCTGCTGCCTTTGCTGCTCTTACTGGATGTTGCAACTGCTTGCACAGCCAGTTTCCACACACTGTCACATGTTAAATCACTCTTGACATCAGCAGATAAGCTTGTCAGAGTCTGCAGCCCAGCCCCAACTGAGCACAAACAGGTCCTGAGCTGTGCTTTCTCTCTCGATTGTTATGAAACATTTTGGACTCCATCTAATATCCCTAGGCTGACCTCACATCATCTGCAGAGCAAGGCCACTAAGGAGCACGTTGACTTCCAAAGGCACAGAACTAGAGGCACCTATTTTCAGCAATAGCAAACAGTATGTGCTGAGGCAGGTTGGATTCAAAAGCAAACCAGGTGCCAAGATGGGGCAGTGATTTATTTTTCTATTTGTCTGTGTTTCAGAGAGATAACTGTTGGGGGGTTATTTTTCTTGGCCAAGATCCTGTGGAAAGCCTATCCAGTGAAATCCGTGAGCTCGCACGTAAAATGATAGCATATGCTCAAGACATCAACGGACGTCAAGCACCCAAAGCCACTACAGCTTGGCCAAAAGATGCAGTCTAGAGGCCTGTGTTTCTGGAAGGTGTTGTCACTTCTGACACCAGAGGGGGAAGGCAAAGTCACTTTAATTTAGAACCCTGTGGTCATGGCTCGATTAAAAGTCAAAAAAATGCAGAGGAGTACAAGTAGTATTTCATATACACATTGGGGAGCCATCACAATCCCTGATTTCCTTTGTACAAAGCTGGTGTCACTCTTGTCATATTTATCTCAACCCCTGTTCCCTGCAGCTGGCCAGTCCTGACACAAGGCACAGCTGTCACAACAGTGCTGCTAACAGAAGGTTAGGATGAATGGATGTCTAGATGTGAGCTGAATCTACTGTATCTGAGGTCTGGAGTAAAGTTAGCTTGTCAGGAAGGAGGGGGGACCATGAATGGAATTTGGCAATTATTGTGAAATTTCAAAATATCCTAAACATGGAGCCTTGAAGAAACAGATTTGATTTTTTTAACTTCTTTTCTTTTTCTTTTTTTTTTTTTTTTTTCATATTAGGCTGCCCTTGCCAAACATTGGACGTCAGAATCACAGAACCGTAAGGTTGTTTAAGTTGGAAAAAACTTTCAAGATCATGAAGTCCAACCATTAAGATATCACTGCCAAGTCCACCGCTAAACTGTGTCCCTAAGTGCCACATTTACATGTCTTTTAAATACCTCCAAGGATGATGACTCCACCACTTCCCTGGGCAGCCTGTTCCAATGCTTAACAATCCTTTCAGTGAAGAAATTTCTCCTAATATTCAACCTAAACCTTCCCTGACACAACTTTAGGCCATTTCCTCTTGTCCTATCACTTCTTCCTTTGGAGAAAATACCAACCCCACCCCTCCCCATTCTCCTTTCAGGTAGTTGTAGAGACTGATGAGGTCCTCCTGAGCCTCCTCTTCTCCAGACTAAACAATCCTAGTTCCCTCAGCCATTCCTCATCAGGCTTGTGCTCTTGACCCTTCACCAGCTCTGTTGCCCTTCTCTGGACCCACTCCAGCACCTCAATGTCTCTCTTGTAGTGAGAGGCCCAGAACTGAACTCAATATTGGAGGTGCAGCCTTACCAGTGCCCAGGACAAGGGGATGATCACTGCCCTAGTCCGGCTGGCCCCACTATTTCTGATACAAACCAGGATACTTTTGGCCACCAGGGCACAATGCTGGCTCATATTCAGCCAGCTGTCTACCAACACCCCAGTAGCTTTCCAGCCACTCTTCCCCAAGCCTGTAGCATTGCATGGGGTTGTTGTGACCCAAGGGCAGGACCTGTCATTGAGGCTTGTTGAACCTCATACCATTGGCACCAGCCCATTGATCCAGCCTGTCCAGATCCCTCTGCAGAGCCTCCCTGTTCTCCAGCAGATCAACACTCCTGCCCAACTTGGTGTTGTCCACAAACTTGCTGAGGGTGCACTTGATAAGTATATTAAACAGACCTGCCCCCAATACTGAACCCTGGGGAACACCACTTTTGACTGGCCACTAATTATTTCCAGATTCAAGAACGTCAAAGAACTAGTGTAAGATGTCATTGGAAGAGGTGTTGAATGGACAGAAGTTCCCTAGGCAGCCTGGCATTGCAGCAAGATGTGATGCCACTGCATAAGCTTATAGAGCTCTGCTCTAAGAGCTGCCACTGCTTTCAGTTCCTGTTATGTTTCAAGAAAACTCACTCAGTCTCCCTGAAAGTGACTGAAGTGGTTTCATTCTCATTACTTTGCAGATGTCCGTGTCAGAGGAAAAAGGGAAGGTGAAAGGCCATCCCTTGAGCAGAAACCCGATGTACCTGCTGAGAATAAAATAGAGAAGCCACAAGCCTTGCAGATGGCTGAAGTGCTGAAGGCATTTCCCATATTTCCAAGAAGCTTGCAAAGAGGAAAAAAGGAATGTTATCCCCTTACCTCCCTTCCCAATTTCCTCAGCTCTTTGTTCTGATTTTTCATAGACTAAAGATGATTCACTGAGTAACTGACCCAAATGTGTTCAGTGCTTCTTGAGAGCTGTGGCCAGTGTAACAGCAAGCCATAAGGGCAAATGCAGGAGTGATGGCAGTGACTTCTCTCAAAGGGAGGGCAAGAGCCGTTGTTCAAATCTTTCCAGGATTGTGCAGGGTTCTCTCCTGCTTCCTTTTTTGTGAAGGTGACTGTGATGAACTGGGGTGCCTCCTGTGTGTGACAAAACAGTGCTGCCCAGCTGAGTGTGGCTGCTAGCTGTAGCAATATTACAATGATTAGTCAAACCAGCAGTCTCTAGTAGATTAACTACAGCCGTTCACTTCATTGAACAAGCATTGTACAGGAATTCAGAATGCAAACTATACTGTCCAAACACACCTAATGAATTAGCATTAAAGCTCACATGAAAATCCTTGAGGTCAAATGCTAATTTTGAATGCCTACATTAACTAGTTATTTGCATCTTCAAAAGTATTTAACTGATGTTTTGCATGAACATGTCTTTACCAATAATTCAAGATGTGACAATTTATATGTCTAGAGTTACAATTAAAAGTAAGAAAACTCAGACCTGGTGGTTAACTGTAAAATGCAGTGAACCTGAACCCAAGGGTAATTCATTGGCTGTTTTCTACTGATGGTGTTTCAATGGCCAACTTAAAGATATTGATGCTTCATCAACTGAATGAGAATATGCAGATTTTTCCCGCATCATACAAGCTAAGAGAGATCCCAGCACAGCTCTAATCAGAACAGCAGCAGAGCACATTGCGATTACATATCTGTTTTTTCTCAGCACCACCCAGAGCGAGACTCATTACAATTGGATTCATTAAAAAAACACTCTTAATATTTACAGCACTCTCTTATAATTGACCATCAGGTGTCTGGAGTTTAAACACATATTCATTAGGATTGTGGTAGGCATTTTGTCATAGCTGTAAATGTTATGCTCCATTCCTCCAGCTTCAGGGTTTGCTATGAGCTGCGCTTGCTCCCTACAGCCTTTAAAAGATACTGAGCTTTGTGAATTTTTCCTGTTAATATCGACTGTATCTCAGACAAGTGGAGTTTTAATAAATTCCCAAGTCTTTCAGGCTAGCAGTGGAGGTGGCACTCTCTGAAAGAAGTTACAAAAGTTAAACTTGGAAAATATTTAGCCTATATTGGAGCTTGCGGCTTGCAGGCACCATCACATTCCTCTCTACAGCTGTGTATTCAGAAGTTGTTGAAAGTTAAGTTTTCTTACTTTTTTTGATGATTATTTTGCAGCAATGTAACAGGGTCATAGACACCAGTGAAAGCTGGACAGGATCCTCCAAGTGCTTTGGATATTTTTGGAAAAACATGGTACATGGCTGTTTCCTATAAGTGTGACTGATTGCTTCATCCCAGTATCACTTCTTCCAGCCTCCCTTTTCTCTCCTTACCACATATCGTGCTATGTAACCACAGCTTCTCAGACTGATTCTGGGGCTGTGAGCCTTTCAGCAAAGAATGTTATTCTGTTCATCATTTCCCTCGACCTAATTTCTTTGTACGTGCAGGAGTGCCTAGCATTAGCACTGGCTGGCCTCATGTCACCATTGCTGGTCTTTGCTGCTGAAGTATTAACATTTCTGTCCTTATGGGTAATTCTCACTGAGAAAATCTGGCTGCTTCTTCTTCTTCTTGGCCAACAACAAGGGTTACTTGAAAAATAAATTGTGTAAAGCGTATTCTGGTGCAAGAGGGCTGAGAAGGTGCTGGTTGCCCAGCACTGGGCAAGGATGTGAAACTTTCCCAGTTCTCATTTCAGCTCAGTAATACTTGCCAGGGTTTTGACTACGTACACCAGCAGCAGAAACTTCTGAGAGAAACTGGCCTGACTCACTGCCATCAATTTGGCTGCTGATGCTATTGCTGGATTTCCTTGCAATCAGAGATCACAGCCTCTAAACAGTGCAGCTTCCCAGCAATATGCTGTAGGAAAGAACATAGACACTAAGCCTTTTATAATGTTTGGCTTAATAGCAATTTATATGAAAAACAACCGACATACACAAGCACCCCCCCCCGAAATAGGATGACCTTTTCTTACAGCGGGCTGAAAGCTGTGTACTCTTTTTACATCTCCCTGTTTGACCACTGTGCTTGTTTTTCAGTAGTGATGGGGACTGGCTCATCACAATATTTTGGCTTTTAATCAGGTTAAATAATGCAGCTTTATCCTGACTATTTTGATTCTCTCTAATTATCCTGAACATTGCTGTAACTGTGGCATAAGGCTGTGTTCTGAGCTACCTGTTCATCCATGCTTCATGTGCTAACAGGTGTCCTGCTCGGACCGTGCTGTCTGTGTCAGGCTGTGAGGTCAGACATGAGCTATTTCCCACGATCAGCTTGATGTGCTGCATGTACTAGCTTTTAACAGCCTGATTCACACACCTCTTTGGCAAAAAACCCCAAATGCATGGCTTTCGCAAAATGGACACTTTTTTCTCTTTAGAAGGAGAGAAAGTGAAACCCATCAACAGTTGGTGAGTGATATTGGATAATGGGACATATTGCCAAACTGTCCCATTACTATGAGATAAAATAATGTTAGAATCACCCTTGGGCTGACTGTGGAAAAAATAATGACAACAGAATAAAGTGCATTTGCCACACAGAATACAGTATTAGTCATCTAGAAGCATGGTGCGTATGTGCCTTTTCTGGAAGGGGAGTTCAGCACTTTTTGCAGAGAAATGAAGGCCAAGAATGCTACATTTTCACACTCTGAAGAAGAGTGTGAAGAGAAGATCACACTAACACTCTTCGACCTCTACTTAGCATGGGTAAAAAGCTGCCCGTTCTTTGCTTTCGAGGCCCTGGGGATGGAGGTTACAGGAAACTGAGGGCAGTAACAAAAAGACTCCACATCGGAGATTTTTGCAGTAAATGTAGTGACTAAGGTCATTGTGTTTGAAGTAGCTCTCTTGAGCATCTTCTGGCAGTATATTCGTGGCAGCACAAGGTTCACTAGAAAGTGCAAATCTTTCCTAGAAATCTGGGGAATTAATTGAGTACTTATCCTAAATTCAGTATTGCCATGATTAATTTAAAAGCTTAGGTATAACAGGATATAACTATCTAAAATATCAAACTTACCTTGTTGGATTTAAGGTCTGACTCTAGCCCTAGACCTTATGTTTTAAAAAAAGCTGCTACAAGAGAACAGCAATACTACACGTAGTCTTTCCTTCAGGTGAGGAATGGAGAAACATATGACAACATCCTCTTTGTGGGAATTTACAGTTGTTCTTTGGTACTGATAGTATTTTGTATCAACATTCATGGACAAAATGAAGGGATATGAAATGCACTGAAGACTAAACTGCAGAAGACTACATGCAGAAAGGCTACTGAAACCAGCAGCTGTTTTTGTGTATGGTTTAATTTATTTCTCTGCTACAGAGCTGGGCAAATAGTCCTTGTGAGCAGTTCAGTTTCATTTTCTCCAACATATGTATATATTTTCTCCAGAATGTACAGCTCATTCATCCTACATCTCCTGGAAAGGCGGGGGAGCTCTCTGTAAGACAGCCACCAGATACTCCCATGCCCATGTCCGCTCTCCATGAGCTCTGCAGTGCCTCTGCGTCAAGAGAAGTGCATGGGGAGCCAGGGGGGGTGGCAGTGATGGGACAGGGATGAAGGGGGAAGGCTGTCAAAGACAGCAGTAGATGAAGGGCATGGGGTTACAGTCGCAGTCTGGGGAAATGTTAAAGCACCTGCAAGGTGGTGAGTTTCTTTGCTGTACCAAAGTTGTACTAGATAAATTTTTAGGACCATTTGGTGTACAAGGAATGTAAAATGGTCTCTGATATAATGTGGAAACAACTATCCCCAAATGAGTTACTTAAGTTGAAAAACTACTTATTTTTTGGCAGTGGAAAATTGCTTGGATGAAAACGTAAAAAAAAAAAAAAAAAAAGTTTAGCAGCCTTTTGGAATATTTCACATTTCTTAGGAATGGCGTGGGTTTTCTGGAGCAACAGAGTAGGATTTTTAAAATAGCATCATGGATTCCTACTATCTTTCTAACAGCTAATCAGTAGTTTTACACCAGGATGAATTCTTTTTATCAAACGTATATGAGGTCCTCTTTGATTGCTCAGTGACAACTTCCTACAAAGTCCTAAAAATAAAGAATATTTCCCAAGTGTTCTGTAAATAGCAGAACTCATTGTTGGCCAAAATGGTTGGAACATTTTTCTTACCTTATCATATTCATGAATTATTTTTACTCTGTTACTTTGCACAATATCGCTACAATATCTGCCTAGTAATATTTTAGTAAGAGTCTTCGTTCTATAAGTATGCTTTAAACATCTTGTGAATCCCCTGGCTGCTAATTTTGATGAGCAAGATGCACACATCTGGCACTTAGTCTTTGTGCAAAGTCCTGCTTTGTAGTTCAGCATTAGGTTCAGTGTTTAATAGACCCCTATTCTTCCTTCTGCTCCAACACATAAAAATCCTATGGTGACTCTTGAATAAGATGCCCTGACTAATATACCATATTAAGGAGGTGGGATATTGTATATAGACAATGAAACCTTCAGTTTATGTTTTGAAAAAGGTTTTGTGTCCTTGTTAGTGTTTATATAACACTAATAGCCAGTTTAGATATATTGTAATGAGTTTGATCTGTAAAAGTCTCATTAGTTGCTCTCTGACTGAGTTAAGGAAACTGGAAGCAACAGGCAGAAGAGGAGGGGCAAATTCAGCTGTTATTTGAGAAAGTGTAGTAACTGGTTAGTCTGGGAAATTATGCAGACATCACTTTAAGATAGACATGACAGCTGTGAATTGTGGTATTTGTTACCCACGTTCTCATGCGTTATTAGGCTTGTTCATCAAATTATAGAATTAATAGCTTGCACAATCCATGTAATTTGTTCCTTTTAAATTCCCTCCCTTGAAGTCTCAATCATAGTGTGTTCCAGTAGGTCAACAGCAGAGGGTTTTTTTCCTTCCTGGTATTTGTCTGAAGCTTCAAATAATGTTGGTTTAGTCCTTACAAATTGAAAGCATCCAATAGAAGTTGGACATATCTCTTGCCTCAAAGTTGTCAGACGACCCTGTAAAATCCCACACATGCACCTCCGCCGAGTGGAGGGAGAAAGCAAAATGAGGGAAGGAGAGTCACCGCTATACTGTACAGCTGGCTGGCAGGAGGTGCATCAGCAGAATGACTCTTGACACAATCAAGTAGGACGCGGGGGGCCACGAACAAATAATTAGGCTTATTTCTCCTCAGGGCTTTGTTCACTGCTGGAAATTATATGCAAAATGGAAGAAGCAGATTAGGAATGAGGTCTGAGGGGACACTGAAAATTTGCTCATACTGTAACCACCTTTGCTGAAAGAGAAATCCCCAAGGGTTAATTTGCTTCTGCAGAATTGTCTCAACACTTTGAGAAAATAAAACAATGAAACTATGTTGGAAACTTTTCTTTCGATAATCTTCTTGTTTAGGGTTAGTCCTTGTAATGTTTCAAAATGTCATTTTCATTGAAGTATTTTATATTCATTTAGGTACTAATTGTGCACTTCATACTAAGGATACAGCAGTTGCCTTCCAAGGTTTAGGATACAAAATGAAGGTGTTCAAACCTTTCCTCCTTGTTGAACCCTAAACCTAATTTTGAGAGGCCAGTTTAGTTCAAATCAAAAAAATAAATGGAGGACTTCAGCTTGAAGAATTCGTAGAGACCCATTGATTCTTACACTTGCTCAAAGACAGTTTTTTTTGGCACTGGAAGTTACCACCAGTAGGGAAGGATTCAGGCACAGTTCTTTTGTTACTTTCTGTACTCCAGGAGGTGAACCACTGGCAATGTCTTGGTTGCCATAAGAAGCCCCTATAGGCCACTGATAATCACCACACTTTAAAAGCTAAAGCAACAGCAGTGTTTTTAATTTTCTAGATACCTACAGCCAAAGTCATTGCAGTGTTCACCACTGTAGCAAAGAAACTGATATCTGAAGGAATACAGTATCAGAGGGGAGGAGGGTTGATTTCTTTGCCATTAATTCATTTGTGTAGCTGAAACTGTCTTAAATAATTTTATTTCACAAATCAGGCAACTATTTCTGAAGGAAACACTTTATGAAAAATGTCACTGGTTTTGATTTTTTTTTGTCAGTCTCTGGGTAGCCTCAGAAAAAGGACTTTGTCTTCAGTTTCACAGGAGAATAATATTAATGACAACTTTTGCCTCAGACAAATTGATATTTTTTAGTGTTTAGAAGGTAGTAGTAGGAATCCTGTTGTGGTTACCACCTCCCTACCATTCCTGGAGTAGAAAACTTCAGGAAAAATGCAAATAGCTATAGGCGAGAAAGGGATCATCTGTTGAACAAAGAGCCAAGGTACTGAGGAGGTGTCTCATCCCCTGAGCAGCACTCATCCTGGACTCTGCATGAGAACAGAATCCCCTGGAGAAAACAGTCTGTATTCCTGGAAGTATAGGCAACCTCACAATGTATAAATGCAGGAGGAGTGTGCTTTTAAGAGAGCAATGTCCTATCACATGTATCTTTATGTGTGTCATGGTTTAAACCCAGTCAGGTAACTCGTTCACTCACTCCCCCCTTTCTTTCCCTCCCCCTACTCCCAGAGGGACAGAGAGGAGAATCAAAAAGAATGCAACTCCTATGGGTTGAGATAAGAACAGTTTAGTAACTAAGGTATAACACAAATCACTACTGCTACTACCAATAATAACAATGATAAAGGAAATAACAAGGGAAGAGAATACAACATCTCACCACCAGCCGACCGATAACTCCCCCCCCCCCCCAGCCCGACCAAGCCCCGACCGATACCTCCTCCAACCCCACAGTCTACCAGTCCTTCCGGGTAACTCCCAGTTACCTCCTGGGCATGACGTGCTGTGGTATAGAATACCTCTTTGGCTAGCTTGGGTCAGGTGTCCTGTCTCTGCTTCCTCCTGTCTTCCCCTCCTCCCTGGCAGAGCATGAGGCTCAGAAAGTCCTTGGCCAAACCAAAACATCGCTATCAGCTCTGTTCCCAGGCCAAAAGTCAAAACACTGCACTGCACCAGCTACCAAGAAGGAGAAACATGACTGCTACTGCTGAACCCAGGACATTATCCACCCCTTATTCTATACCATTCACGTCAAGCTCAGATCCCACATTTTCAATATACCATCACTCTTATCTAAGTGCATGGACCAGTATCTATAAAGCTGCTGCGTCCATCTGGTCCATGATGTCAGGCTCCATCTCTTGTAACAGTCTTCCAGAGCAGGAGAGACTGTGTGCAGTGTTCACACTCGTGAATAACCTGGGCAACAGTGTCCATTGCTAAGTCCACCCCTCGATCATGAGTCCATCTCTATGTTGCATTTCTGCCCTGATGGCCTGAAGTGCCATGGGCCCACCAGGCTCAAAATAATTCACTGTCCCCTTCAGCAGTTTCTGCGGCTTGTTGCTGGGGACTCCACAGAGCTGCCTTCCATCTCCGATGATTCCAAAGCACTGGAGGGGCCCAGTGGACTAGGTACTTGTCCATACTGTCCCACACACCCTGCCACTCATGACAGGCCAGCTTTGGGGAAAATCTCCTGGTCACCCTATATCGTCGTCTAACCCCAGACAAGACCCAAACCTGACTCTGCTTAACTTTTGAGACCAGACAAAATGGTCGTGGGTAGAACACACTCTGTGTGTGTGCCAACATGCTGATCCCCATCACAATCAGCAGGCAGGTCCCAAGGATACCCAAAGGCCATTCAAAACCTTCAGAACTCTCAAACGATGCTGCTGTACTTGTCACTGGGGCTGGTGTAGCTGCTGTGCTTGCCGGCTCTCCCACCACCAGCTTCTCTTTTCCTGAGTCCAGATCTTCCTCCTCTGCCTTGCTGGGAAATGCTGCGTGGTCTCCTGCATCCTCCTGGGGCTCGGCGGGCGGCTGCCGGGGAATGCTCTCAGCCGTCTCGGGGCTGGGCTCGGCCGCCGGGCTCGGCTCCTCCTTCTTGGGGCTCGGCTCGTCCGCCACCTCCTCCCGCTGCTCGGCAGCCGCTTCTTTCTGCTCCTCGACCGCCCCGACCTCCTCCACCGGCAGCCGTCCCCTCACGGCCTCCGGCCCCGCTCCCGCCACCGGTTGCTCCCCGGGGCCGCCCTCCCGGGCCGCTTCAGCAGCCGCCGGCTACCGGGACCGCTCCTCCTCGGCTCCCCGCGGCCTCGCAAAGATGGAGGCGAGGGGGAGGGCCAGGACGGTGAAGAGCAGCCGGACGGCCAGGTACAAGTCCACGGCTACGTCCGTCCCGCCCTGCTGCTGGAGCCCGCCCGTATTACAAGCCATGGCCATAAAGCACAGTGAGACAAGAACCTTAGCCCAAGCCCCACACTTGATAAACACTAACACAGCAAATACCGGCTCTAAGTAATGTACTGCATTCTGAAACTGTGAGATCAAGAGAAACAACTCTGAGAGCCAATAAATCAGCATTGTGACTAGTGACTATTAATCCGGTCAGATCGGTTGTTATCTTAACCCTTCGTGCCGCACGTTGGGCGCCAAAAAGAGCTGTCGTGGTTTAAACCCACCTAGGTAACTCGTTCACTCACTCCCCCCCTTCTTTCCCTCCCCCTACTCCCAGAGGGACAGAGAGGAGAATCAAAAAGAATGCAACTCCCATGGGTTGAGATAAGAACAGTTTAGTAACTAAGGTATAACACAAATCACTACTGCTACTACCAATAATAACAATGATAAAGGAAATAACAAGGGAAGAGAATACAACATCTCACCACCAGCCAACCGATAACTTGCCCCCCCCCTCCCAGCCCGACCAAGCCCCGACCTATACCTTCTCCAACCCCACAGTCTACCAGTCCTTCCGGGTAACTCTCAGTTACCTCCTGGGCATGACGTGCTGTGGTATAGAATACCTCTTTGGCTAGCTTGGGTCAGGTGTCCTGTCTCTGCTTCCTCCCGGCTTCCCCTCCTCCCTGGCAGAGCATGAGGCTCAGAAAGTCCTTGGCCAAACCAAAACATCGCTATCAGCTCTGTTCCCAGGCCGAAAGTCAAAACACTGTACTGCACCAGCTACCAAGAAGGAGAAACATGACTGCTACTGCTGAACCCAGGACATTATGGTATGTAATAATCATCATGGAGAGTAGCCATGGACTCAGAGTGGATGAACATTTATAGCATGTCTAAAAAATACTTTTAAAAGTATGTATGCATATGTAATTTCACTTGAAGAATCACAGTCCCTTTACAAGTAAGGCAGTAAGGCATTTGATACTGTCTCCCACAGCATCCTCATAGATAAGCTAAGGAAGTGTGGGCTTGATGATCAAGTAGTGAGGTGGATCAAGAACTGGTTGGAAGGAAGAAGGCAGAGTTGTGGTCAATGGAGGTCTGTGACTAGTGGAGCCCCTCAGGGGTCGGTGCTGGGACCAGTGCTGTTTAATATTTTCATCAACGACCTGGATGAGGGAACTGAATGTACCCTCAGCAAGTTTGCTGATGATACTAAACTGGGAGGAGTGGCTGACACACCAGAGGGCTGTGTTGCCATTCAGCGAGACCTGGACGGGCTGGAGAGCTGGGCGGAGAGGAACTTGATGAAATTCAACAAGGGCAAGTGTAGAGTCTTGCATCTGGGGAATAACAACCCCATGTACCAGTACAGGTTGGGGGCTGACCTGCTGGACAGTAGTGAAGGGGAAAGGCACCTGGGGGTCCTGGTGGATATGAGGATGACCATGAGCCAGCAATGTGCCCTTGTGGCCAAGAAGGCCAATGGCATCCTAGGGTGCATTAGAAAGGGTGTGGTTAGTGGGTCAAGAGAGGTTCTCCTCCCCCTCTACTCTGCCTTGGTGAGGCCACATCTGGAATATTGTGTCCAGTTCTGGGCCCCACAGTTCAAGAAGGACAGGGAATTGCTTGAAAGAGTCCAGCGCAGAGCTACAAAGATGATTAAGGGAATGGAGCATCTCCCTTATGAGGAGAGGCTGAGGGAGCTGGGACTCTTTAGCTTGGAGGAGACTGAGGGGTGACCTCATCAATGTTTACAAATATGTAAGGGGTGAGTGTCAGGATGATGGAGCTAGTTTTTTTCAGTGATGTCCAGTGATAGGACAAGGGGCAATGGGTGTAAACTGGAGCATAGGAGGTTTCATGTGAACATCAGGAAAAATTTCTTTACTGTGAGAGTGACAGAGCACTGGAACAGGTTGCCCAGGGGGGTTGTGGAGTCTCCTATGTTGGAGATATTCAAGGGCCGCCTGGACAAGTTCCTGTGTGATGTACTCTAGGTTACCCTGCTCTTGCAGGAGGGTTGGACTAGATGATCTTTTGAGGTCCCTTCCAACCCTTAGGATTCTGTGAAAAAAAAAAAAAAATCCTTTGAAAACAACTGGAAGCTCTTTTTAAAAAAATCCCCAAACCAAAAAA